TCGAGTTAACGTTAAAGAGAATGTAAAATTGTAAATGGATCATATCATAAAAATAATAATTGATTCTTTAAAAATCTTTTTTGCAAAAATTCATTAAAATTGAAGAAGCTTTGGCCGTGAAAAAAATAAAATTTTAACAAAAGCCGCTTGAGCCTCTTACAAATTAATTGTTATAAAAATGCTGTAATTTTGTTATTATTAAAAAAACAAAAATAGTAATTTGATAATAGTTATTTCATTAACTCTCTAATAAGTTGCTCTATTAAGTTTTCTCTATATATAAATCTATTATTATTATCCTTATAATATTGTTATTCATTATGTCATCCTTATTCGTGGCTTTTTGTTTCGCTAAAAATATTACTAGAAATGATAGTTATATTACCAGAACTGTGCTGTATCAAATAAACATTGATACAGATAAATTCAGAGAAATTACCTTCAAAGGTTTATTAAGAATTCTAATTCATTGATTACTCTGTTTGAAAAACATGCTATTGTCTTAATAGTTGGCTGTTATGTGTATGAGGAGGATGTAGAATATGCATATATTGGTTACTATTGTTGCTTTTATCAGGAATATTTAAGAATATTATAAACCCTAACTCTCACTTTATTGTTTCTTATAGATCACTGTGTACAATCTGTATCTGTATCTTATTTTAATGATGAATATACTCTTACCCCAGATGATCTATCAAATTTATTTCCCTTATTACTTTACTCTGCTTCTGTAGTACCAAATTCCTATATTTCTAACAATAATGGAAATTGGGAAAGTTTCATATTAGCAAGACGATTGTATAATGGAATCACTGACAATAAACATGTTAATTCTAAAATTATCGTATTATATATAAATGAAAACAATTGCTATAGTACTTTAAAAAATAATTTAAGAAAAACCGTCTTATCTGTTGTAGGACAATTAAAGCTTAGATCAAAAAGACTTCTACATATTCTTGCTTCTGATATTAAATAAACCTATCTAACCAGTGATTCTTAGACTTCAAATGCTTCGTCTAGTAGAAAAATATTTCTGCAAGAAGAACTTGACACACAACTCGAAAGCATTAAAGAAAAATATGCTATGCTAACAACTCAATCCCCTTAAAAAAAACAGAAAATTAATTTACAAAATTCTTTTAAACCCTCGAATAGCAAGATTATATTCCTGAATTTTGGTGAGGTCATTTTGCAGATTCAAAAAGAAGTTTCTCTCGTTAAACTTTGTGTAGAATCTATTTCGCAACTTAATAATAACAAACCTAACTCACAAAATATGATCAAGACCCTTGCTTCTGATACTTCTCATATAATTA